CTGCAAATGCATAATATCTACTCTAATTTTTTAAAATCTATAATTCTAAAATCTTTGAGTTTATCTGGTCAGAGAAAGTGCTTTATCAAATCCTATGGAAAGAAATTACAACAAAGAATAAAAACATGTAATAATTAATCATAAAATTATCATTTAAACTTAAGTGATACTGCTATTATTGAAAGGTAGAAATAGTCTATTTTTCAAAAGGTAGAGGGTTCAGAATAAAATTTCATTCATTCACTCAATAATATTCACTGAGTTCCACTATGCAACAGACATGTAACAATAAACAAAACACAGGCCCTATCCTCAAGTATCTTTCATTCTATTGGAGAAGATAGAGTCAGTCCCAAGTAACAGACAGTAAGTAAGTAATAATACAGTGTTATAAAACAAATAGTACAGGGCGCTGATGAAAATATGGGAGAGACATATAACTCAGACTTGGAGTGTCAGAAGAGGTTTTATGGAAGTAAAATTTATTCAGACAAGGGGTAAAGGTAAAGATAAAGACACTGCTTCATAGAGAGGGAACATGTAATTTAATAAATCTTTCTTCATTCTTCTGAAAAAGGACCCAAGAGCACATATGCTCTTTTTCTATCCAGTAAACATTAAATAAATCTACAGATTTATTTGTTAAATGATAAAGTAATACCATTAATTAAGAAAGTAGTTGTCCAGGTGACTGGCAGTTAATTGATAATCAATAAGTGTCAGTATCTCAAGTTTTGTAACTGTTTTAAGAATAAGATGCTGTGTACTTCTTGTGTGTCACATTTTCTAGTAATAAGTCACTCATATATAGAGTAACAGAAAGCTTAGTTCACAGAAATGTAGAGTTAACAGGTACCTTCTCAATTTATATGCACTTGAGATTAATTGGAAGAAGCCTGTATACCGTGAAAGGCTAACATAAAGCCAATGTATGTTATCTCCCAAGTGTACATTTTTATTTTATTTTATTGAACTTTGTACAGAAAGGAAGGGAGAGAGATAGAGAGCCAGAAACGTCGATGAGAGAGAAACATCGACCAGCCGCCTCCTGCACACCCCCCGCTGGGGATATGCCCGTAACCAAGGTACATGCCCCTGACCGGAATCGAACCTGGGACCCTTCAGTCCCCAAGCCGACGCTCTATCCATTGAGCCAAACCGGTTTCGGCGCAAGTGTAAATTTTTTAACTCAGAACACTCTTCAGAACTAAATCCATATATCCAACTGCCTGCCTAACATCTTCATGAGAAAGAGGGCACAGGCATCTCAAATTTAAAATGTAGAAAGCTGTATCCCTACCTTAAACTCCTCCTCTCCAGTTATCACCACAGCTCATCACCACCATTCACTTAGGTCCTCTCAGTCTTCCACAGCCCTTTCCCTAATTTCCATATGCGATCCACTGGCAAGTCCTGTTGAATCTATCTCCAAATAGATCTCTCCATCTCCACTGACAATACCATACTGTGCTCTGGATCATGCAATATCTTCCTAATAGGTACTCCTTATTCTAGCCTTGCTCTCCTGCTATTCTTAATATAACTGACAGAATAATCTTTTAAAATCACAAAATGGATTTTTATCACTCTCCTACATAATGTTTTCCACCTATCTCTCCAGTTTCATTTCAAACCTCTGCTCTTTCACTCATTTACTCACTCATTCACCTACCTACCCACCAACTCACTTCTACTTACGCAATACTAGAGGACCGGAGCACAGGAGTGGGGTTGAGGGGAGGGGGCGTGTCTCTCAGCCCAGCTTGCAACCTCTCCAATCTGGGACTCCTCAAGGGATGTCTGACTGCCCATTTAGACCCGATCCCGGTGGACATCCCTCTCACATTCAGGACTACTGGCTCCCAACTGCTCACCTGCTTGCCTTCCTGATTGCCCCTAACTGCTTCTGCCTTCCAGCCTGAATCATCCCCTAACCACTGCCCTGCCAGCTTGATTGATGTCTAACTGCTCCCCTGTCAGCCTGTTTGCTTCCAAATTCCCTCCTCTGCTGGCCTAGTCACCCCTAACTGCCTTCCCCTGCAGGGTTGTTCGCATCCAACTGCCTTCCCTTGCAGGCCTGGTCCCTCCCAACTGCCCTCCCCTGCTGGCCATGTTGTGTCTACATGGGGGCAGGATCTTTGACCACATGGGGGCAGCCATCATGTGTGTTGGAGTGATGGTCAATCTGCATGTTACTCTTTTATTAGGATAGAGGCCTGGTTCATGGGTGGGGGCCAGCTGGTTTGCCCTGAAGGGTGTCCCAAATCAGAGTGGGGGTTCCCTAGGGGCATGGGGCAGCCTGGGCGAGGGGCCTGTGGTAGTTTGCAGGCTGGCCATGCCCCCCAGTAACCCAAGCAGAGGCCCTGATATCTGAGATTTATTCATCTTCTATAACTAAAACTTTGTAGCCTTGAGTGGAGGCCAGGAAAGGCCAGGGCAGGCAGGAAGCATGGCATCCTCCATTGCTGGGGGCAACCAAAGCCTCCTGCTGGCTCCAGCTCTGTGGCTGCTGCCATATTTGTTGTGTTAATTTTCATACTCACTCCTGATTGGCTGGTGGCCGTGTATTATGGGCGTAGCGGAGGTACAGTAAATTTGCATGTTTCTCTTTTATTAGATAAGATACATAGGAATAGAAGACAATATAACTCAATTTTTTAATAATTTTTCAGAATTATATGCCTTAAACCACATACTAGTTTTAACTCTTGTTTATATCAATTAGCCTATTGTAAATTTATTTTTGTTATACATAATATCCATTATCATTCTGAAACAATGGTTATCACCACCCCGTCTTTGAAACATTTCACTACCTAACTCTATTCAACTGTACATCAGGAAAAATCCAAATAGAAAGAGGACTAAGGCACTAAAGGACATATTGTGAAAAGATCAATTTTCCCTTGGCTTTGCCAATTTCAGTCTGTCTTTATTTCTACACTTGACACTAAAGAAACTAATTTGCTTTGAATTGTACCCTTCTTCCTTGCTATGCAACTAACAACTCACAAGAGCATTGGTAGTTTGATCTAAGAGCTCCCCGCATTCATGTTATCCTCTCACTTGAACTTTTTACCTGTTTAATATTTATATTTCTCCAAAAAAGAAATGGAAAAGAAATAATCACTGAAAAATAAAATGTCATGAGTGTCTGTGTGAGGCAGGTTCAAAACCTCCAATCACACTCTCATAATGAGACTTGAGATTAGAGTCTTCACTGGTTAAAATTATTTCTTCCATTCACATCTCCCTCTTTAGTTCTTTTATTCTTCCCAATAAAAAGTTAAAGGCAACAGTGAGGATCTAAAGAGAATCTAGAAAATTCTGTCTATACTAGAGCACGAGGTGTGTGTGTGTGGGGGGGGGGGGAGGGGGTGTCCCTCAGCCCAGCCTGTACCCTCTCCAATCTGGGACCCCTCGAGGGATGTTCAACTGCCCATTGGAATCAGGTCTAAATGGGCAGTCAGATATCCCTCTCACAATCCAGGACACCTGGCTCCCAACTGCTTGCCTCCCTGCCAGCCTGATCACCCCCCACTCCCATGCCAGCCTGATTGATGTCTAACTGCTCCCCTGCCAGCCTGTTTGTTCCCAACTTTCCTCCTCTGTCACACCTAACTGCCCTCCTCACAGGGTTGATCACCTCCAACTGCCCTCCCCTGCAGACCTGGTCCCACTAAACTGCCCTGCTTTGCAGACCTGGTCCCTCTCAACTGCCCTTTCCTGCTGGCCATCTTGTTGTGGCCATCTTGTATCCACATAGGGGCAGGATCTTTAACCACATGGAGGCGGCCATCTTGTGTGTTGGATGATGGTCAATCTGCATATTACTCTTTTATTAGATAGGATAGAAGTCTGGTGCACAGGTGGAGGCCAGCTGGTTTGCCCTGAAGGATGTCCTGGATCAGGGTGGGGGTTCCCTTGAGGAGTGGGGTGGCCTAGACGAGGGGCCTGTGGTGGTTTGCAGGCCAGCCATGCTCCCTGGCAACCCAAGTGGAGGCCCTGGTATCTGGAATGTATTTACCTTCTATAATTGAAACTTTGTAGCCTGGAGCAAAACCAAGCTCCCTGCTTGGTCCATGGCTGCTGCCATTTCTGTTTACTTTCAATAATTAAAACTTTGCAGCCTTGAGTGGAGGGCCTAGGCAGGCCAGGGCAGGTGGAAAACTTGGCTTCCTCCATTGCCGGGGGCAACCCTAGCCTGTTCTCTCCAGCTCCATGGCTGCCGCCATTTTTCTTGGGATTTATCTTCTATAATTGAAACTTTGTAGCCTTGAGTAGAGGCTAGGTTGGCCTGGGTATGTGGAAAGCTTGGCTTCGTCCATTGCCGGGGAAACCCAAGCCTCTCAACTGCTCTCTGTGGCTGCAGCCCTCTTGGTTGGGATTAATTTGCATACTCACTCTGATTGGTTGGTGGGCATGGCTTATAGCAGAGCGATGGTTAATTTGTATATTACTCTTTTATTAGGTAGCAACAAGACATTTAACAAGTCACCTCAAGAGCAGACTGATCTAGGACTCTTTTAAGTATCACAATATCTCTGTCTTTCATACTTGTTATTAATCTTAACTTGTTATAGCTTTAACTGCTCTTTTGAACAAGCCAAGGTATAAAATAAATAAACTATTTGCTATTTAAAATTAACATCTTTAACTCAGAAATGCTTGTGTTTTTCCATTTAATTTAAAAGCAGGATTGTGCTGGTCTTGTACCAAACAGACATGTTCCATTTCATCTTATCAGATATATGAGCATATACTACCATAAGTGTATCTGATATCAGTCCCTAATTATTAATGCAGTGACCTCTGCATTAACAAGTCAATTCTTATATAGCTATATTTCAATTCTAATTTAAGTCTAAGTACTTACACTTGATGAGTGTTTTTGAAACCATATAAATATACATTATGTTTAGTTTCCCTAGACTACACTGTTTGGGTTTTACCTTTTGTTTAACTAGCTGCATTGCCAGTAACTGTATAAAATCGCAGACCTGTTTTTCAGCATTGGTCCTGGCTGATTCCTCTTGTGCTAGCACCATTTCTCGCTCTGCAGTTATCTGTACACTCTCTCTTAGTGCTTCTTCCAGCTCTTCAATTCTGTCATCCTTCTTACGGAGATTGTCCTGGAAAATGATGGAAGACTCGGTGAAGTAGACTAATTAGTTAATACAAGGAGAGCCTATTTATCAACAAGGGCTATTTGTTTATTAAATGTTCTTCCCTTCAGAAGTAAATCCAGAAAAAAGAGATATCATCAGAGAGGAAAAAATAAAACAAGAGAAGAAAGAAATAAAGGAGGTTGAATAAGTATATTATTAAGAGCAAAGAGTCAAGTTATTAAGCAAGAGGAACATGTGATGGACTTGATCTCCATCTGGATGGACTTGCTAACCACAGTGAATAAAATTGTTGCACTGGGCAGCATGGGTAACAAAAGCTTAATTATTTAGAAGCACAAAGCTACTGAACTACTCTGTAAACTGACCTAATGTCAGCTCTGATGAAGCCAAAGTAATAAGATTCAATGTCAACTGTTCTCTTTCCCCAAAAAGTTAATCCTAGATGAAAAAGTTAAGTAAACGGCATGATCTTACAGATTGTATTCTTCATATAGCAATTTAGCAAACTAATTTAAAAGGAGAGAAATGAAAAAAGAGGTTTTTCCTGATGCAGTAAAGAAAGCCATGTTTTCTCTTAATTTTATATGAAAAAATTGGAAGTAAAAACCACACCCTATTATAAATGACTGGTCTGGCTAAGAATGAGTAATTTAGTTAGCCAACCAAAACCCACTACAATAATCATCTAAACAAGTTTAAAAAGTAAATTTTGAGGAAGTAACTATAAATTTTAATCAGAAAGACAAGCAAAATCTTACAGGACTTTAAAAGATCATGTAAGATAGAAGATCTTAGAATAAGAATAAATTAGCAGTTTTCAAGTAGAATGAAAAACTTAATTCATGAGGTTATTATAAGCATTTCTTCTTTATATTCCTATAGAACCAGAATATTAATAATAATAAAATGCTGGCTTCCAAAATGGTGATGGAGTAAGCACATGCTTCTATGACCAAATTGAAATTATAACTAAACTACAGAAAGAACATCCTGAATAATTAACTGAAGGCTAGCTAAGAGAACCTGAAAACCAAGGTTGAAAAGTGGAGACTACATAGAGATTGGTAGAAAGTGCAGAGGTGCAAAAGGGCTGGCTGGGCTCCCACACACAGCAGATGAAGTTCTGAAGGGATATCTCAACTATGGGGTTTCCCACTGAGAACTCTGAGATCTAAACCCTAAGCTGGGCTCCCAATCCCAGAGCACCATAACTGAGAAAGGTGCTCTGGCTTTGAAAAGCAGCAGGATTTCTGTCTGCCAGGGAGAGAAGACTAGAAATGCAGGCACCCTCTAAAAGGGCCTTCACACTAAATTTCATGTGCAACTAATCACCTTGGTCTCCAGCAGAGTGAGGGCAGAGTGGACTGGAGTTGGGTGAGCAGAAGCCAGGGTTGAGAATTCTGGGGTTAGACCTGTGAAAGGTAGACACCCTAGTTTCCTGTGCTGAGTCATTTCTTCAAGCTGCAGAGGATATCTTTCTCAGACAGACTTTTGCTATCCAGGCAGTGTTTAGAGGAAAGGCAGTTGCCCCACCCTGCCAGGAAACCCCTTGCCAACCCTGTGCAGTTTCTGAGGCCCATTAAAAGGCCAAGAATAACAATCAGCCTGTAGGCAGAAGCAATTGTCTGACCCTGTTGGAAAACCTCTCACCCCACACTGTAGTTGATAGGATAATCAATCCTGAATATAAACAGACTGCTGGCAAGGAAGGTCTCTGGAAGCTTTGAGTCTTTGCCTGATCTAATTCATGGCCCGAGGCTAGGAAAGGCAAACTTCAGTGCACATCTTCATCTTTTCCAAAGGCACCCAGTCCCAGCAGAGGAAGTCACACTCTGTGGATTGCTGATAGCTCCAAACAGAATACTCAATTCCAGTAAGAAACAGCGTGTGACACTGACCTGCACTAGAAATTGGGAGGTGTAGCAGATCTACCTAGTATAGAGACACAAATTCAAACAGGCAGCCAAAATGGGGAGACAAAAAAAAGCCCCAAACAAATAAACAAACAAAAAAACCACAAACAATAAAGAAAGAAAAAGAAAAGTCTCCAGAAGAAGAGCTAGATGAAAATAGAGATAAGAAATTTGAGACAAAGAATTCAGAATAATGATGGCAAAGATGCTCAATAGCATATGAAAATATATAGTAACCATGAAGAATGACATAGCACTAATAAAGAACACAGTGGAAGGAATGCATAGCAGGTTAGGGGAAGGCAAGCATCAGATTAGTGAATTAGAATTAAATTCTAATCAGAGAACGAAAAAGGAAAAAAAATTATAAAAACAGGTGGACCCAGTGATCCCATGTCTAGGAATAAGAGACCCAAAATAACAATCAGAAAGAATGTATGCATTACTATGTTCATAGCAGCATAATTTACAATACTAGTTAAGATCCAGAAACAGCTCAAGTGCCCATCAGTAGATGAGTGGATGAAAATACTGTGGTAGATTTATATCATGGAATACTATGCAGCTGTAAAAAATAAGGATTTCTTGCTTTTTCACACAGCATAGAGGGACCTAAAGAGTATTATGCTCAGTGAAATAACCCAGTCAGAGATAGACAAGTATCACATAATCTTACTCATATGTATGGAATCTAAAGAACAAAATGAACTGTTGAACAAAATAGATCCAGAGACAGAGAAACATGTCAAATCTCAGAGGGGTGGTTGGGTGGAAAGAGATCAACCAAAAAATTTTTTTAAAAAAATAGGTGGACCCAGTGAGAGGGTTAGAGAGTTAGAAACATTGATGAGAGAGAATAATCGATCAGCTGCCTCTTGCACATCCCACTGGGGATGTGCCCGCAACCGAGGTACATGCACTTGACTAGAATCTAAACCGGGACCTTTCAGTCCACAGGCCGATGCTCTATCCACTGAGCCAAACCAGTTTCGGCGGATTAAGAGAGTTTATTACCACCAAACCGGAAATGTAAGAAATGCTAAAAGGTTTGTTATAAAAAGAAGAAATATGAAGGGAAGAAGGAACAAAGGCATAAAGAATAAAAATGGCGGAAAAACAAGTACCTGTCAATAACTTTGAATGTAAATGGGTTAAATGCCCCAATCAAAAGACACAGGGTAGCTGAGTGGATAAGAAAATATGACCCATATATCTGCTGCCTAAAGGAAACACACCTCAGAACAAAGGACTCATACAAATTGATGATGAAGGGATGGAAAAAAAGTTTTTCAGGCAAATGGAAATGAGAAAGAAAAAAGAAGAAGAAGAAGAAGAAAGAAGAAAGAAGAAAGAAGAAAGAAGAAAGAAGGAAGAAGGAAGAAGGAAGAAGGAAGAAGGAAGAAGGAAGAAGGAAGAAGGAAGAAGGAAGAAGGAAGAAGGAAGAAGGAAGAAGGAAGAAGGAAGAAGGAAGAAGGAAGAAGGAAGAAGGAAGAAGGAAGAAGGAAGAAGGAAGAAGGAAGAAGGAAGAAGGAAGAAGGAAGAAGGAAGAAGGAAGAAGGAAGAGGAAGAAGAAGAAGAAGAAGAAGAAGAAGAAGAAGAAGAAGAAGAAGAAGAAGAAGAAGAAGAAGAAGAAAAAAGCTGGGGTAGCAATACTTAAATCTGACAAATTAGACTAAAAGTGAAGGCCATAACAAGAGATAAGGAAGGACACTTCTTAATGCTAAAGGGAGCAATTAAACAAGAAGATATACCACTGGTAAAGATATAGGCACCCAATATAGGAGAATCCAAATACATTAAAAAAAAAAAACTTCAGGAGGATATAAAGGGAGAGACTGATAGAAATACAGTCATAGTAGGGAACTTTAATACCCACTAACACCATTGGATAAATCCTCTAAACAAAAAATCAGCAAAGAAACATCAATCCTCAATGACTTATGAGATCAGATGGAATTAATTGACATCAACAGATCATTTCACCCCAAAGCCCCAGAATATACATTATTGTCAAGTGCACCTGAGTCTTTTCAAAGATAGACCACAAATTGGGACACAGGCAAAATCTCTTCAAACTCAAGAAGATAGAAATCAGATCAAGCATCTTCTCAGATTACAGTGGCATCTTCTCAAATCACAATGGCATAAAACTAGAAATCAACTACAATAAAAAAATAATTAAAAAATCAAACACCTAGAGGCTAAATAACATGCTACTAAACAATGATTGGGTTACCAAAGACATCAAAGAAGAAATAAAAATCATCATGGCAACAAATGATAATGAAAACACAACAATACAAATCTATGGGACACAGTGAAAGCAGTCTTGAGAGGGAAGTTCATAGATCTACAGGCCTATCTAAAATAATAATAATAATAATAATAATAATAATAATAAATAAGAAAAAAATTATTAAAAAAATTATCTATCCCTACTGCTCAAAAAGTTAGAAAGAGAGCAACAAGAAGAGCCTAGCATAAGCAGAGGAAGGAAATAATAAAGATGAGAGTGGAGATAAATGATATAGAAACCAAAAAACAATAGAAAAGATCAACAAAATGAAGAGCTGGTTCTTTGAAAGGATAAACAAGATTGATGAACCTCTAGCAAGCTCACCAAGAAGCAGAGAGAGAGGACCCAAATAAACACAATCAGAAATGAAAGAGATGAAGTAACAACCAATCCCACAGAAATACAAACCATTATGAAAAAATACTATGAACAACTCTATTCCACAAACTAGACAACCTAGAGGAAAATGACATATACGTAAAAAAGTACAAGCTCCCAAAACTCAATCAAGAATAATAATAATTTTAAAAAAACATGAATAGGCCAATAACTACCAAAGAAATTGAAGCACTGATCAAAAACCTTCCAGCAAACAAAATGCCTGGTCTGGATGGCTTTACAGGGGAGTTCTACCAAGCATTCAAAGACGAACTAAAACCATCCTCCTCAGACTATTCCAAAAAATTCAAGAGGAAGGCATACTTTCTAGCTCTTTCTATGAAGCCAGCATTACCCTAATCCCAAAACCAGATAAAGATACCACAAAAAATGAGAACCACAGGCCAATATCCTTG